TCTTTAGAATAGTTTGGATTTTGATTAACCTTGACAAGATTTGAGGAATTCACACCCTGTAGCTTTCAAAGTGATTCTTCCTCCAGTTCGATTCGGTACAGCCTGCTAGACAGTGTGCTGGAAGCCTGCCATGCCCCCACACCACCTGCCTCTGTGTGCCCAAGGGAGGGATTGAACCCTATCCTGTGTTTTCTCAACTAGTCTTACAGAGGAGGGCCTTATTATCTGTGTGTTGGGGGACCCCAAGACCACCCCCAGTTTGGTAATTCATAGTGTTCAGCATGTAGTTGAATTCGTGGCTAAGATTTATTACGGTGAAAAGATTACAAGCAAAGGCATCTGCAGTGAAGTCTAGAGAAACCAGACACATGTTTCCAAGAGTCCTTTCCCAGTGGAGTCACAGAGAACATACCCAGTTCCCCCAGCAACGAGTTGTGACAACACCTGTGAAATGTCTACCAGAGAAGCTCATTAGACACTCAGTACCCAAGGTTTTTATTGGGGGCTGCTTACATAGGCACCCACTGCCTAGCATGTACCAAAATTCCAGGCTCCCAGAAGGAAAGCAGGTGTTCAGAATAAACCATAATGTTGGCACAAACAGTCTAGGCATAGGGAATATTTCATATCAGTGTAGGGCACTGTTTACCAGCCAAGTTTCCAGACACCAGCCATGAGCAGGCCCTTCTAAGGGTAGCAGTCTTAGAATTATGTTAATTCTTTTCCGCACAGTCTTTTTGGTTCTAGACCACTCCTAGATGATAACAAATGTATTTATAACTATCTCTCAACTGCCAAGTAGCATCATTCGTACTTGAAGCTTCAGGGAACAGGTGTTATTTTATCTTGGAAAATTTCTAGACATGGTTTTTAAGATGTTTCCTCACCCTCAGATAACAGAGCCCATCTACCTTTCTAGTTTTGAATCACGTATGTGAGATTGCTGAGAGCTTAGGATGGATGACTAACACAACAACCTGGTATGTGTTTGGTCTGACTTGTAGTGTGACTTCCTTGATGTCACTTCATAATAGGAATATGTCAGCCTAGCAGGGTGCTTGTACAGGCTGAATATCCGTTACATGAAATGCTTGAGACCAGAAGCGTCTTGGATTTTGGAATATTTGCATATACATAATGAGATACCTTGGGGATGGGACCCAAGTCTAAATAAAAAGTTCATTTATGTTTCATACACACATTGTACACATAGCCCAAGGGTAATTTTGGATAATATTTTTAATAATTTTGTTCGTGAAACCAAGTTTGTGTACACTGAACCATCAGAAAGTAAAGGTGTCACTGTGTCAGCCACAGTCTTGGTGGTTTGGCATCACCATCATTCCTGACTCTGAATTTACATGCAACTGATAAGCAGTCATCTTCTCATACTTACTCACACGTAAGTATGCACCAGTAGAAAATACGATATACTGTTAATACAGTGAGGAAACAACGTGTTCAGGGCGACCAAGCAGCAGAAGAGCATCACCACGACACCTGTGTCAGCTGTTAACCCGCAGCAGCAGGCTCTCCCTCTCCACTTGCAGTGTGACATCATGTTGGCATTCAGAGACTTCTTGGTTCTCATCATATGTGGGGACTGCATGATTTGTACTTCAACAGACTTCTAGCTTTAAAAAAGTGATATCTTGTCTTTAATTGGTTTTTGGGCATTCTGTTGGCAAGTTCCCAAATTTTGAACTGAGAAGGGAGGCTGAACTTGTGCATGTAGACTTTTAACACAAATTTGCTCTGTGAAAATCTATCCTTTAAGCTGTATATTTACTTTCCTTGGTTAGTTTAGAATTCTAAAATGCTAATAGCCTCTGTGGTCAAGATGGCAGATTAAAAGCCCCACATTATACTAAACACTTAGAAATGCTGAATTAAACATAATAAAATAATTCATATATAGCAAAGCTTGAAATCACAAATGAAGCTGTTAACATGTTACTTGCCTGATGAAAGGATAAAGAAATTTAAAAAAAAAGAATACTGATCCTCATTTCTAAAGATAGCTCTTGTTTTTTTAGGAAACGGTAGGCAACAATGTGAGTATCTGATACAGGGACAGAAAGAATTGTCACAAGTAGCAATTATCCTTTTGGATTTACCTCCTGATGATGTTTTACTTTTTCCTCATCATCAGTCATCTTAAGTGTTTTTTTTTCCTTCTGATTACAAAAAGTAGGTATGTGCTCATTGAAGAAAATTTGAAAAATACACATAAGCACAAAGAAAAAATCCATGTCCCTCCCCCAACACTCCTCAGAGCCAGACTTTTTTTTTTTTTTTTAAAGAGAGACAGGGTCTTGCTCTGTTGCTCAGGCTGAAGTGCAATGGCACAATCATAGGTGGGACTACAGACACATGCCACCATGCCCAGCTAATTTTTTTTTTCTTTTTTTTTAAAGAGATGGGGATCTCACTATGTTTCCTAGGCTAGTCTTGAACTCCTGGCCTCAAGCAAGAGTGCTGGGATTATAGGTGTGAGCCACAGTGCCAAGCCAACCTTCTTTTTTATTAATATTTGATCCACTTCATTTATCTTCTTATAAGGCATAGTTTTCTTGTCTATATAATTGTCAAAAGTAGACGTACAATTATTTACTTTCTCATTTCCTAATTGTATATCTAGGTTGTTACTCTTTTGGGTTTTTTTGCTATTATGTATAAGGCTGTGATGATCCCTTGTCATAAATCTCAAATCATTTAAATCATTCAACAATAGAAAAATTTTAGTGCCCTTTTTTGAAAAGTCATAGCATTTAGTATTAAGGATAATAAATTTGAATTTTTAAATTTATTAATAATTTCCTTTAGAGAGGAATTAGGTTTTAGTAACTTTCGTTCCCTGACAGTATATTATTTATCTTATGGAGATCTTTCACATGATTGTGTCTGTGTTGCCATGGGAAAGAAAGGAACAATCATGTCAAAATCGGGAATAGAGCATGAATTTCAAATGAGGAAAGCAATGAAAGTATGAATGGGAAAAAATGCCATTCTTGAGAGAAATCATAATTGATCAAAGTACCTATTTTTTGTTTCTCAGGCATGTTTCGAAAGGATGAAGAACTGACTCCATCACAGAGGGGTTTGGCTGTAAGGTATGTGCCTTGCGTCGTATCCTGCTAGGGTTTAGCCTGCCTCTGCCTAGAACGCACATTGGTTATGTGGCTGAGGCTCACTAGTCCTTCTAGAGGTACTAACTTCTGAAAAACAAACCTTGCTACCTCTGCACTCCTCCCTCAGCCGGGCTAGGCATCCCTCCTAAGGCTCCTGTAGCACCTCGCCTGTGTCACTGTACAGTGTGCACCTGCTGTGGACCACAAGGCTACCTGCTAAATTTTTTGTCTCTGTGAGACTCTGAGTTCCTTGAAAACAGGAACATGGTATAGCCTTCATGACTGCCACATAGTAGTTAGTAGTAATTATAGCAGCTACCGTTTATAGACCAGTAAGTTGATGGCAGATAGTGGACTAAGATATAATACATTAATATAGCATGTAGATGCTACATTTGACATAATGAAGAATGATATTTCTCATTATTATTTGAGGAATGCATTCTGGGATAAGCTTCTAGTTCATTTATTATAGGTACTCTGATGACTGATGCAAAGAACAGCTTAATTTCTTGGCAGAATTTATCTCAATCTAATATAATTAGAGCTCAAATACTTGTTTTACTTAAAAGAAAAATTTCATATGGGGTACCTTGTTTCTAAATCTAGAACTAATACATGCGTTGCTGATAGACTAATGAGATTAAGTTTGTGATAGTAGATAGACCTACACTAAGTGTTCATCTTTGATCCAGGTAGCATGTCTTGGGGATCTTCTTATATTTTCCTCATCTGTAAAAATATTCTGTTGTGAGCTGAGCATGGTGGTACATCCCAAGTAGTCTCAGTTACTTGGGAGGCTGAAGCAGGAGGATTGCTTGAGCCCAGTACTTTGAGGCCACAATGAGCTATGAACTGGCCACTGCATTCCAGCCTGGGCAACATAGCAAGACACTATCTCTTTAAAAAAGAATTCTGTTTTGATGTTCTCTATAGTCTTTATAGGTCAGTAAATATATACTTGAGTATACTTAACTATGAGAGGCTAATTTGATCTGAGTTCTATGACCTCTAGGAGCCCTTGGGCCATCCCAGTAACTGCTCACTACAGACTCTTAATTCCTCTTTCCCCCTTTCTTCTCACATAGCCACCTAGCAAATCTCAGAGCCAGTTAAATCCAGCTCTCCACCTACCTGAACAGTAGAAAGAAGCAGAGTGGAAATACATTCAGTCTTGCTGACTGGACTTATTTTGAATTTGTTACCCCAAATTTAAAATTACAGTCCTTAGTATTGCCAGCAATTCTGCAACATTTCCTTAGCCTACTCACTTTCCCACTCTCTTGTAAGATGATTTATTCTCCTTTCTTCCCAGACTTCTAACACTCCCTCCCCCGTACTCAGGATGGTAGCAAAATTTTATTTTTTGGGAAAAATAAAAGCAACCCTACTTCATTCTGCAACCATGAAATCTACCAGACTGCCTGAATCTGTAACAAAACACTGGACTTTCTTTCCTGGTATCTAAGCTAGGCCAATTTTGCACTTCTACTCTGAACCTACCTCCTCAGGGATCTTGCTGCTTCAGTTAATGTCCTGTCTCTTGCATCATCAATCATCAATTTCCCCCTCTCTGCTGGATCATTCCCACCAACTCAGAAGAAAAAGCTTGTTTTATCCCACACTCCCTTCTAGCTACCACTCAATTAGTCCACACTTCTTTAGAATAACACTCCTTGAGAGCTTGTCTGCACTCTCTACTTCCTCACCTCCCGTTCTCTCATCAATGCCCTGCAGTCAGGTTTTTGTTCCCACTCTTGGTCTGAAATGATTCTTTCAGAGTTGCCTCAATCTTGGCACATTTTACCATTGGCTTCAGTTTGCCTGATGCTCAGCCTCTCGGCAGTGTTGGCCAAGCTGTCCGCTTCATCCTGAAATACCTCCTTCACGTGCCTTCCAGGATACATTCTTGTGATTTTCCTCCCCCCTTAACTGACTCGTTCTCTCCGCCTCCTTTGCAGAAGCCTCTGCCTCACCACTAAGTTGATGTGCTCCAGAGCTCAGCCCTGGACTTCTCAGTTTTCTCCAGTTGATCATAGACAGTCCATTGGCTTTAAAGACCATCTACATGTTTGGAGTCTCCTAAATTTGTATTCCCACCCCAACCTCTCTCCTGAGCTCCAGCCTCTCATATCCAACTGCCCTTTCAACATCATTCCATGGATAGTGAGAGCCATCTCAAATAAAGCATATGCAGAAGAGAACTTCTGATCTCTGTCTTCCTTTTCCCTCCCTGTCCACTGATCTGTTCCTCCACCATTGTCGCCCACTTACTTAATAGCAATAGCATTTATCACTAGTGGCTTGGGAAAATTTAGGCAGACACTGATTTTCTGACTGTAAATCCACTTCACCAGCAAGTCAAGGTAGCCCTTTCTAATCTCTAATCTGACCGATTCTCACCATTCCCTTTTGTTTGGTCCCAGTCTAAACCCTCATTTTCTACTTGGGCTAGTGGAGTAGCTTCCCTAACTGGTCTCCCTGTTTTCTCTTACGCCTTCTGCAGCTTACTTTTCACCTCGCAGCCAGAGATCTTTTTAATGTGCGTTGGATTATATTATTCCCCTCCCCTGATGAAAATCCTCCAATGGCTTCCCCTGTAATTTAGAATAGAAGGACACACTTTGGACTGCAGCAAATATGGCCCCACGGGCGGATGCTCCCCCAGTCCCCCTCCTTCCCTCAGTCCACTTCTGACTGCACAGGCCACCTGTCAGAAATCCCCTCCCTTCCCTGCCATCGCTGTCTGTCCCTTTGTCCCGCTTCGTCTTTCTTCATAGTACGTATTGCTGTCTAACGTTACATAATATGTTTATTTAATTGTCCCCTTCCTACCCCTGCAAATGTCGCCATCACCTAAATAGTGGTTCCCACTGGGAGTGATTTTGCCTGCAGGAGACAGTTAACAATGTCTGGAGACATTTTTTGGTTGTCACAACTAGGAGGGATGATGTACTGACATCTAGTGGGTAGAGGCTATGGATGCTGCTAAATGTCTGCAATGCAGAGAAGTCCCTACAATAAAGAATCATTGGCCCAAAATGTCAGCAGTTCTGTAGTTGAGAAGCCCTCACTTGAGATAACACATAGTGGATGTCAAATAAATGTTGATGGAATAAATGAATGAGTGAATCTTTTGTTTAATATTATAAATGAAATATTATAGTTAGACCTAAGTTCTCATTTTAATAGCAAATGTTATAGGTCATTACTTCAGTCCATAAAATAACTTGTTGTTTGTGATATAACAGTTGAGCCAAAAATTACTTCAGCCAACTTTGTGGTTACACATTATCTCCTGTCCTTGAAAAGTGTGTTACATGGTTTGACTTGGTCTTAAAATAATTGGCATCGACAGTGGAGCTCTGCCGCTGGAGTGCAAGGAGTTCTTTGCAACTCTGTGACTGCAGGTACTTACTCTGGTGCTTGCTCTGTTTCAGCATTAAATATGAAGAACTGAAAGAGAAAATCTACCAGAAATATTTTCTGTCATCAGTTTTGAGCCCTAAAAAGAAAATACTTAAGATACAACATTTTGGCCGGGCGCGGTGGCTCACGCCTGTAATCCTAGCACTCTGGGAGGCCGAGGGGGGCAGATCGTTCTGAGCTCAGGAGTTCGAGACCAGGATGAGCAAGAGCGAGACCCCGTCTCTACCAAAAATGGAAAGAAATTAATTGGACAGCTAAAAATATATGTAGAAAAAATTAGCCGGGCATGGTGGCACGTGCCTGTGGTCCCAGCTACTCGGGAGGCTGAGACAGTAGGATTGCTTGAGCCCAGGAGTTTGAGGTTGCTGTGAGCTAGGCTGACGCCACGGCACTCTAGCCCAGGCAAGAGAGTGAGACTCTGTCTCAAAAAAAAATAAAATAAAATAAAACATTTTAAAATGTGGGGGAAAAAAATTCTTAAAAATTAGAAAATGTGTTTCGGTTGAGGGGTAACCTAGATAGTATCAGATGTGCAGGAAGCACGATGTTGTTCTATTGATATTTTTTTTTTAATAAAAACAATATTAAGCCAGGCATGGTGGTGCATGCCTATAATCCCAGCTACTCTGGGGGCTGAGGCAGGAGGATCCCTTGCTCGAGCCCAGGAGCTCGAGTCCAGCCTGGGCAATGTAGCAAGACCCTGACTCTTTAAAAAATAAATTAAAAATGATGCGTATTATATATAAAGATACTCTCTCAACTCTTGTTCACAAAGAATGTTTATGTTTTTAAAGGAGACAGTTTAGAGAGGACAAAGACATTGTAACATGTTCGAGAAGCCTGCTTACTGTCTCCAGGTGTAGTTCTTTTATTCGTGATAGTTTATAATTGACAGTGGACCGTAGACTTGATTAATGGAGCTATAAAAATATACAGTCCTTATTCATTTATATAGCATAGAAAGCCTAAATAGTCTCCTGTGTTAACTAACCATTTTACCATGTTACCAGTAGATACCGCGTGCCATTTGGACAGATTTCAAAGCAGTCGAATTAAAAATGTTGTGAGACATCCTTGACTCCCGTCTCTCTCACACCCTACAGCCCATCCTTCAGCAGACCCCGCTCCGCTGCCAGGGTATGTGCAGAGTGTCCTGCCCCACTCCTGCAGCCATTGTCACCTGCCTAGTGGCTGCTCCACTCCTGATGGGTCCACACACAGGGGACAGAGTGATGCTTTGAAACATAGGTCTTTTAAAACCCTACTATGGTTTTTCAACTCATTCAGAATAAAACCTGACATTCCTACCATGGCTTAAAAGGCAGGCCCCATGTGGTGTCACCTCAACTCTCTACCTCTCCTCCCATTCTTTCCCTGGGTTCAGTCTACTCCAGCCTCATCCCCTCCTTACTGCCGGCCGTGCCCAGCTCAGGAATCTGCCACTCATCATCCCTTCTGCCTGGAATCCTTGTCACAGACATCCACATGACTCCTCTCACTTCCTCCTTGTCTCTACTCAAATGTCACCTTACCAAAGGGGCCTTCTCTGATTTCTTAATGTAATAAAATACCTTCTCTTTGTAGCACTTAGCATCTCTGAAAATATTTTATATATTTTTTTATTATCCATTTTCTGCAACTGGTATGTAAGCACCATGAATACAGAATTTTCCTCTGTTTTGTTTCGTGCTGTATCTCGAGACGCTAGAGCACGCTGGGCACAGTGCACAGCATGCATTTGTTAAATGAGCAAAGGATTGACTAGTAAGAGATGACACTTTCTGTGATAGCATATCTGTCTTAGATTTGTTTATTGTGAGAAATCTAAGTAGAAACCCTTCGTATTTGTTCATAAAGATCTGCGTAGAAACTCTCTTATTCAAAACTACTGTTGAGCATTACTACATCCAGATCTTTTAAATTATTACTGTATGGATGCAAATGACGATTAAAGATTGTCTTATTTTGGAAATGGTAAGAATAGTGAGTGTAGATGATTATTATTTCTATCAGACTTTCTGAAAGCTTATCTCTCACAAGTTGCATGTCTTTTTGTTGCAGGCGCATGCCAAGCCTACTGGAGTACTTAAGTTACAACTGTAACTTCATGGGTATCCTGGCAGGCCCACTCTGCTCTTACAAAGACTACATTACTTTCATTGAAGGCAGATCATACCATATGATACAATCAGGTGAAAATGGAAAGGAAGAAATACAGTGTGGAAGAACAGAGCCATCTCCAAATGTAAGGTCATGAGATTTATCTGGAGCGTTTAGAGCATGTATTGGTTAGTCTTATTTATTTAAAGATACTAATATTTCCATGTTTTGAATTTACCTATATCTTTAAAAACGTTTTTCAAGATAAGTGACTCCACATTCTGCCTATTAGTGATGCCTAGTAGAAGTACAGTCATAATTAAAGAACAAAAATAAGGTTATTTGAGAAATTACATGCCGAATTCCTTAATGAGAATGATGCTTTATAGTTACAGAGTATTTTACAAGAAAGCCCTTCTCATGGAATTAGCCATCCAATTTTCCAGGCCTTTTTTTTTTTTTTTAAAAAAGCTATGCCTTATGTTCTAGCAAATTGCAAACACTCTGTGTTGTCCTTTCCTTTTCTGCTTTTCTCTTCTTCTTAATCATAACCTGTTGAAATCCTACTCCTCTTTAAAGATCTACTTAAGGTATCACCTTTTTCACAAAACTGTTACCGATTCGCACAATAAAGAGATATTAACAGCTAACACTTTGACAGCTCTTACCACATGCGCTGTTTTTGTTTATTATTATTTATTTCAAAAAATTGCCTTTGCACTGCCCAACTCAGAGCTACATGCACTGCTGTGAGCACCTCACACATAGTTAGTTACTCTTTTCATCTTCACAGTAGTTAGTCTTACAAAGTAGTAGACTCTGTGGCTAAATAATTTGACCAGGATTTCCCAGGTTGGCAGTAGGAGATCTAGAATTCAAACCAGTTCAGTCTGGATCCAAAATCTATGCTAAATTGCCTCACAACTGAACATAGTTTTTACTTTTTTCGAACTATTGAGGTACTTGGAACCGATGAGATGCTGCTTCATAAAGAAAGGCTATGAGTCTTTGCGTAGGCTAAGTTTCTGTTGGATTTGATCTGGTTGAATCTAAATGTTCCATGAAAAGTAATAGGCCAGTCAGAAAGCCTATGAGACAAAGAGAAAGAACTAATGTTTTCTCTGAATGTGGGGCTTAGAGCAAGCCCCCTTTTCCCTGCAAACCTACCATCCTCCATTTGTGTGGCAATGAAGAGTGAGTGAAGAAATGTGCACCCATTCACAAAAGCCATTATATTACCTCTTTTCTACTATGTGACTCATTGTGTGCTTTATACCAAAAAGGAGTTTTTGTCTTCATACTTTGTATTACTGGCTAAGTGTTGATTGAGAAATGCCATACCAAATTGGGATGAATTTCATTCAGACTCATATCTCCAGGCCGACCACTTAAACCTTTAGAGGTCTGACTGCCCTGAGAGAAACTAAAGATAATTATAGACAGCTTCTTAGAAGTTTATTCTGGAATACTGGGAGGAGAATTAAATCTAGGAATCAAGACCCTGAACTCTCAGTTACCAGTTCAGCTTTATCATTGTATTAATAGCACAGCACTTAATGTGTGTGGGTCCCTCTCAGCAAAAGGAGAATCTTAATGTCTTTCCCATTTTAGAGAGGATATAAAGATCGAATAGTTTTGTAAAATATTTGAAAAATATCAAGTGCTATATAAACACGTGAGTAGGAGTAAATCAAACTCAACAAAGAATAATACAAATTTATATTTTGCTTCTGTCACCTTACTCTGAGTTTTTATGGGATTCACTCATGAAATGTCATTTTCTTCCTCTTTTGGGTTATAGACATCATAAATCAGAGGTTGTTGCTAATGACAGATACTCTTAATGTATTATCTCATTGTTCTAATATATTTTTATTTAAATTCCATATGTATATAGTTGACAAAGTCAAATAGTAGTAGTTATTCATAAATCCCTCTAATGGCATTTGTAAGCGCTTTATGTACCAGTGGGGTTTGTAGACTCTTAGGATCTGAAGTAGGATAGTCACATAGCCAGCTATCTCTTCTGTTGGGGACCTCCCGGTTGTCTTTATCTGTATCAGTTAAGACACAGATTTGACTGCTGAAACAAGGACCAAAATAACGGTGTTGGAGAGCCAAGCTCTGTTTTCCCTGTACACATTACTTTCGTTCACAGCCCATTGACCAGAACGTAATCACACAGCCATACTCAGCTACACAAGAGGCTGGGACATGTCATCTTCAGCTAGACTTCCAAGTGCACAAGTAAAAATTCCTTTGCTATGCAGGACGGGGAGGATGGCTCCTGGGCAACACCTACCAGTCTCTGCCATGATGTCTATAAGTCTTTTCTGTGGGGCTATTTTGTTTTTTGAATAAAAGATCCTCTGGTCTTCTTCCTGGGGCACACAAACTTGACTGCTGTTACTCTGGAGCTGGGCAGGAGAAGGGGGCTGATTATATCACCTCTCAGGATACAGCTGTCTCTGTGTTCTCCACGTTTTCATTCCAGCACCTACCCATCCTGCTCTAGACCCATGTTCCTAAGCCTGTATCTTCTGTGGTTACATATATATATATTCTCTTGCTTCCTGCTAGAACGGTGGGGGTATCCACTTTACTAAGAGATATATACCTATATATCTTATAAAGTAAGGTGATTTTACATTTATAATATATCTTATGTATAATATATACTTATTTTACATATAATTACATCTGTAATATATCTTTTATATATATATAAGGCATATATATGTATGTATAGAGTAAGGTGGCTTTATACAAACACATACATCATCCACCTCATTAAGCAGAGACGCTATAGAGACTTGTTTATACCTGGCTTTCTACTAGCCCTCCTCCCAGATATAGTTCTCCCCATCCACCCTGTCTTCCATGATACCTGATGCCTGCATTGACTGATCCTATTTGGGGATTCTCATTGGTATGCATGCCCCGTGGTAGCTGAGATCAGGTTTATGTTACCTTAGTTTTCCTTTTTTTTTTTAAACCGAGACCTAGAAATTTTGCATGTAGTCTAATGGTCAGAGTATTTCTTACTACATTACTCAAATGATATACCTCATTGTTAGGTTAATGTATGGGGCTGTTCTTCTTATCTCCCTTCATTAATAATCACAGTTTTTCTCTAATTACCTTTTTAAAATCTCTTTTTTATTCAAATATATAGATAAGATATTTGGGAGAAGATTGAAGAAAGGTAGCCTTATTTTATTGGAGAAAGGTTTAAAAGATAGCCAGGAAAATGAGAATAATGACAACTGCAGCAAGGATTGGACAGTCAGAACTACCTGGCAGGAGCAACCTACAAATAAGACAGTTTTTTTTAGAAGTGCAATGAATATAGCATATGCTTTGAGCCATTCTTTTGGCACTGTTACATAGTGTGTTAAAATATGGATCTTCATTTATGAATTACTTCAGTTAATTTGAATATTGTTTGGTTATTATATCAGGCACTCTAAACCCAGGTATTTTGTTAACATACCTTCATCTGAATCTAGCCTTTTCTTTTTTCTACTTGTTTCTTTCCCTTCCCAGTCTGTATAATCTCTTTTATACTAAATGAGGTTGAAATGTTCTGGCCTTCTAAAAATACAAAATACCATGAGTTGGTAATTTAACCTTACCATAATATTGCAAAGAATGGCCTGTTCTTTTCATCAGAGTCTTTGATACCAATCTTTAGTGTTCTCATGTGTAGCTCTTTTGATTTTATCATTCTTGAACACAGATATGTTAACTTTCAGATTTAAAGAGATGTATAGATTGTGTATTTTAAAACTAATGTCCATGAAACACCTAGAATTTGTAAGATGTAGAAAAAGCACAATAGAAAAAAATGTCATTTTTCATATAAAATCTACCAAAATTAATTAACATGAATTTTTTGGTGTCCACTTCCGTTCACACTGATACACTTATACTTGTTTTTAGATTTTTTATTTCCTGAAAGTTGTGAAAAACACAAATTGAGGTTTTAATATGAGTTGAGCCATAATTCTTAGGTAGTACTTACACATAAGGTTGGAAATGTTAATACTATGACACCTTGGAGGTCTTTAAATACTAAATGCAGTGTAGCTCTTGATTTTTGACCAGGACAGTTATAGGTTGATGCTACATTCAGAAGACTAATCTGTTGATAATACGTAAAATGAATTAAAAGGAGCATGGGTGAAATTTCTGAAATCTCGTCTTACACTTTTCAGATTGCAGTTATTCAGAAGCTCTTAGTCTGTGGACTTTCTTTATTGTTTCACTTGACCATCTGTAAAACATTGCCTGTGGAGTACAACATTGATGAGCATTTTCAAGCTACAGCTTCATGGCCAACAAAAGTGACCTATCTTTATGTCTCTCTATTGGCTGCCAGACCCAAATACTATTTTGCATGGACGTTAGGTAAGTAACATGTGAATAGACTTTTCTGTTTATGTGTTGACATAAGTCAGTGGATCAGTGAAAAGATAACAGATACTTATTGTGTGCCTGTTGTATGCTAGATTCTGTGCTAGCCAGAATAGATAGTAATATGTATAAGACATAGTTTCTACCCTCAAGATGCTTAAAATATAATACGCTATTAAACCTTTCATTATGATATATGCTAGGCTATTAACCATAGTATAATATGCTTAGTACTTTATGAGCAATAAAATGATATTGGTGTGCGGAATGGGGGTAGTCAGTTATGCTTGGCAGGTAGATTAAGTATTAGAGAAAAGACAGCATTCAGTTGTGCCTTTAAGATTGACTTGATTTCAGCAAGTGGAAAGTGGCTAGTTTTGCACTCATGAACAAAGAGGCATGGAAGTGCCTTGCTTTCTGTGACAGGTGTACTAGGGGCCATGCAGGAAAGAGGGAACTGGGAAGGAGAAACAGGGCTTTCACGAGACCTCGCCTGCTTTGCTGAACAAACCATGAGAGCCTTCAAGCAGGGTGGTGGCCTGATCCTATGGCAGAAGAAGATAATTCTGGCCACATTTTGGAGGTTAGACTGAAGTGGAGAGTCACTTCACTGGATAGATTGAAACCTCTTCATATGTGTTATCTTTTCTCTCACCCACAAGATTATAAACCCCTTTATTCTTGTGTCCTGCTCGACTTGTTTATATTTGGTACTCCATGAATATTTGAATGGCTGCATGAAGAAGCACATTAGCCAGACAAGGCCAAGAAAAAGGCCTGGGGACTGACATTTTACTCTTGGTTTTATTTGGATTGCATGAACTATAGTTTGGGACTGGAATCGGTGTTTTTAGTCTTTTGTCATACAGTTGCACACGGTGGCATCATTAAAAGTTACTTTGACCTGGCATTTTCACAGTCAATTAAAATATATTATGTTACCCTGTATAGATTTTAAACTAATACTTCTTTAAGGATTGAAAATTTTTATTCTAGCCAAATACGAACATCAGTAATACCAGATAAGATTTCTGTAGTACTTAAATTCTGACTTTCAATTGAAACTAGAAATTCTTCCACACCAACCTAGAATTTTTAGGGTTTTATAAGAAATGTGACCTGTTTGTTGAACCACTAGAGTTATATAAGAGTTCTGCATGTTCTTCAGTTTGATTGGACCTCTCATTGTTGAAAATCTGTCAGTAGAATAAGGTCATTGAATTTATAAGACTTTTGAGGAAATCATAAGACCTTTGTAAATATGTAAAAATGCATGAGTTATCCTTAATTTTTTTTTTTTTTTTTTTGAGACAGAGTCTCACTCTGTTGCCTGGGCTAGAGTGCCATGATGTCAACCTCGCTCACAGTAACCTCAAACTCCTGGGCTGAAGCAATCCTTCTGCCTCAGCCTCCTGAGTAGCTGGGACTACAGGCATGTGCCACCATGCCCAGCTAATTTTTTCTATATATGTTTAGTTGTCCAGCTAATTTCTTTCTATTTTTTTTTTGGTAGAGACGGGTTCTCACTCTTGCTCAGGCTGGTCTCAAACTCCCAAGCTCAAACAATCCGCTCGCCTCGGCCTCCCAGAGTGCTAGGATTACAGGCGTGAGCCACTGCGCCCGGCCTCCTTAATTATTTCTTTGTTAGTTATGACAATTACAATCATTCTTAGGGGATTTCTGATTCCCTACCCCCAATATTTGGTTTGAAAAACCAAGAAAATGTGAGTGAATTCCTTTTCCCTGATTCCTCCTTAAGCAAATGTATTAGAATATATAATATATGAGTAACAATTTGAACTACATTTAAAGAATTTAAATAATTCTTAACCATAAGGCTATAAGGTTATTCAGTTCAATAAGTACTCATACTATGTCTGTACTGTCTTAATCAGTACAAGTAATGGTTTAGGTCCTAGTAATGGTTAAACCCTGAAGTCTACATTTTGATGTTGCATCAGTGGAGAAGCTGATTGAAAGGCTTGGCACCCGTATGCACACATTCATCTCTGCTCTCCACTGACTTTTTTTTTTTTTTTTCCGAAACAGGGTCTCACTATATTGCTTGGGCTAGAGTGCAGTGGCATCATCCTAGTTCACTGCAGCCTCAAACTTCTGGGCTCAAGCTATCTTCCTGCCCTACCCTCCCAAGTAGCTGGGACTACAGGCATGCACCACCATGCCTGGCTGATTTTTTCTATTTTTTGTAGAGATGAGCTATGTTGCCCAGGCTGCTCTCAAACTCCTGGGCTCAAGTGATCCTCCTGTCTTAGCCTCTCAGACTGTTGGGATTATAGGCGTGAACCACTGTGCCCAGCCCTACTGACTTTTTGGTTCTCAAATTGGAGTTTAATGACTTCTAAAAGTCCAAAAATGTGTTTTTGGGAATCTGAGAGTTCCAAAATACTTTAATTTGGTTTGTGCATTTTGATGA